GGCAGGACACTTTGATCTCTCAGGCTGAAAATACAAAATAAGTTTGCATTTGCCCCTTGACATCACGGTGGCAAGTCAAATGCTTTTGGACTTTTCTGTTTGCAGAAGTGTGGGAGAAGGCTGCCCCAAGGTCAGGGGAGGAAGGAGCAAAGCTAGCCAGAGTTGTGCGCTTGCAAGGGTGGCGTTTGAACACTGCAAGGCTAGGGTGGTGACTGGACTATTGTTGTTGTCGCAACCCCATGGACAACGTTCCTCCAGGCCTTCCTGTCCTCTACCATCTTCTGGAGTCCATCTAAGCTCACGCCGACTGTTTCCGTGACTCCATCCAGCCACCTCCTTCTCTGTCGTCCTCTTCTTCTTCTCATGATGATGATGATAATGATGATGATAATAATAATAAAGTTGGAAGGGACCCTGGAGGTCATCTAGTCCAACCCCCTGCTCAGGCAGGAAACCCTATACCTCTTCAGACAAATGGCTGTCCAGTCTCTTCTTGAAAACTTCCAGTGTTGGAGCATTCACAGATTCTGGAGGCAGGTTGTTCCACTGGTTAATTGTTCTCACTGTCAGGAAATTTCTCCTTAGTTCCAGGTTGCTTCTCTCCTTGATGAGTTTCCATCCGTTGCTTCTTCTCCTGCCTTCAGGCACTTTGGAGAATAGCTTGACTCCCTGTTCTTTGGGGCAGCCCCTGAGATACTGGAAGACTGCTATCATGTCCCCCCTCGTCCTTCTCTTCATTAAACTTGTTGTTGTTGTTAGTTGCGAAGTCGTGTCCGACCCATCGCGACCCCATGGACNCTCTCCTTGATGAGTTTCCATCCGTTGCTTCTTCTCCTGCCTTCAGGCACTTTGGAGAATAGCTTGACTCCCTGTTCTTTGGGGCAGCCCCTGAGATACTGGAAGACTGCTATCATGTCCCCCCTCGTCCTTCTCTTCATTAAACTTGTTGTTGTTGTTAGTTGCGAAGTCGTGTCCGACCCATCGCGACCCCATGGACAACGTTCCTCCAGGCCTTCCTATCCTCTACCATCTTCTGGAGTCCATTGAAGCTCACGCCTCCTGCTTCAGTGACCCCATCCAGCCACCTCCTTCTCTGTCGTCCCCTTCTTCTTCTGTTGCCCTCCATCTTTCCCAGCATCAGGCTCTTCTCCAGGGAGTCCTTCCTTCTCCTTAGGTGGCCAAAGGACTTGAGTTTCCACTTCAGGATCTGGCCTTCTCAAGAGCAGTCGGGGTTGATCTCCTCTAGGACTGACGGTTGGATCGCCTTGCAGTCCAGGGGACTCGCAGGAGTCTTCTCCAGCACCAGAGTTCAAAGGCATCCGTTCTTTGTCGCTCAGCCTTTCTTATGGTCCAACTTTCACAGCTCTACATTGCAACTGGGAAAACCATGGCCTGGACTGTACGCGCTTTTGTTGGCAGGGTGACGTCTCTGCTTTTGAGTGTGCTGTCTAGATTTGCCATGGCTTTCCTCCCCAGGAGCAAGCATCTTTTAATTTCTTGACTGCAGTCCCCATCTGAGGTGATCTTGGAGCCCAGGAAAATAAAATCGGTCACTACCTCCATTTCTTCCCCATCTATTTGCCAGGAATTGAGAGGGCCGGATGCCATGATCTTGGTTGTCTTAATGTTGAGTTTCAAGCCACCTTTTGCACTCTCCTTCTTCACCTGCATCAAGAGGCTCTTTAGTTCCTCTTCACTTTCTGCCAATAGAACGGTATCATCTGCATATCTTAGGTTGTTGATATTTATCATCTGCATCTCTTAGGTTGTTGATATTTCTCCCAGACTGGACTGTTAACTGAGCTCAAACGGTCCAATTTCTTCTCATTCTCTTCCAGTCCCTTCTCGATCCTTTCTCCGGAATGGTAAACGGTTCTCCTGTTCCAGCAGGGGGTTGGACTAGAAGACCTCCAAGGTCCCTTCCTGCTCTGTTATTCTGCTTCTGTCCTCCTTTCAGCNAAGCCGCTCTTAATTAATGAGTGTTACGCTTTTCTCTTTTGCCCAACGCAAGGGAAGGAGAGAGGCTGGTGGGTTTTATGAGAACAGAAGCCTGCCTTGATTTCTCCTGCACTTACTAAGAAAAGGTGTGGGTCTTGTTTTTATAAATCAGAGCACGAAAGTCGATTCTGGACAAGATAGAAAGGCTGATCCTTGAATCTGAAATCAATTTAATTTAATTTATTTTTTATTTTAATAATAATAATAATAATAAAGTTGGAAGGGACCTTGGAGGTCATCTAGTCCAACCCCCTGCTCAGGCAGGAAACCCTATTTTATTTTATTTTATTTTATTTTATTTTATTATTACTATTTTATTGTATTTTATTAATTTTTATTTTACTTATTACTATTTTATTTTATTATTACTATTTTATTTTATTTTATTTTAATAATAATAATAATAATAAAGTTGGAAGGGACCTTGGAGGTCATCTAGTCCAACCCCCTGCTCAGGAAGGAAAACCTATTTTATTTTATTTTATTATTACTATTTTATTGCATTGTATTTTTTTTATTGTATTTTTTATTTTATTTTATATTGCTATTTTATTTTATTATTACTATTTTATTTTATTTTATTTTTACTTTATTATTTTATTTTATTTTATTTTTTTAAAGTTTATTAAATTTCTAGGCTGCCCATCTCACAGCAACTCTGGGAGGCTGATAATACAGGTGGTCCTCAACTTACGACAGTTTGTTTAGTAGCCGCTCAAAGTTATGACAACATTGAAAAAAGCAATTTACAGCCGTTTTTCACACTTACAACCTTTGCTACATCCCCTCCACGGTTACGTAATCAAAATTCAGACGCTTGGCTGCTGACTCAAACTTATGACGGTCGCCATGTCCCAGGGAGTCACGTGGTCCCCTTTTGTGACCTCCTGGCGAGCAAAGTCAGTGGGGGAAGCTGGATTCGTTTAACGACCGTGTTATTAACTTATCAGCTGTGGTGATTCACTTAATAACAGTGGCAAGAAAGGTCGTAAAATGGGGCAACGCCCATTTAACAAATGTCTCACTTAACAACAGACATGTTGGGCTCCGTTGTGGTCGTAAGCTGAGGACCACCTGTAGAGTAAAAAGTAAAAAAAAAAAAAGGGCTAGAAAACCATAACAATTTTAAAAAAATGGAAGAGAAAAGCTGAAAACCAAGATAATCGTGTACGGGCAGTCCTCGACGTACGACCACAATTGAGCCCGATATTTTCTGCTGTTAAATGAAACATTTGTTCAGCGAGTTTGGCCCCATTTTACGACCTTCCTCGCCTCAGTTGTTAAGTGAATCACTGCAGGGGCTCAATTAATCACACGGTCGTTAAGTGACTCCAGCTTCCCCCCGTTGACTTTGCAGGTGGGAAGATCGCAAAAGGGGATCGCGTGATCCTCCCGGGACACGGCGACCGTCGTAAATGCGAGTCAGTGGTCGAGAGTCTGAATTTTGATCACGTGACTGGGGGGGGGATGCTGCAAAGGTTGTAAGTGTGAAAAACGGCCGTAAATTGCTTTTTTTCAATGCCATCGTAACTTTGAGCGGCCACTAAATGAACTGTCGTAAGTTGAGGACCACCTGTATTATCAGGGGAGATGGGCAGCACAGAAGTTTAATAAACTTTAAAAAATAAAATAAAATAATAAGTAAAAATAATAAAATAAAATAAAATAGTAATGATAAAACGATCGTAAGTGTGAAAAATGGTCCTAAGTCACTTTTTTCAGTGCTGTTCTAACGGGACGGTCGCTAAATGAACTTTTGTAAGTCAAGGACTACCTGTAATTTGGGGCAAATCAGTTCTGAAATGGAAATATTATAAATTCACCTGGAAGTGAACGCTTACTTTAAAAGTAATTTGGATTTTTCTTTTTTGAAGAAGTCCCTGCCTGCAAAAAAAACCACAAATAGCAAACAAAGATCCTCCTTTTTTGCCCCTCTTTGTTCCATGGATGGAAAAGGACAGATGAGGGAGGTAACCAACAGGTACCGTCAAAACATTTGTGCGATTGTGATCTCCAGAATTGTGTTTGTGGTTGGAAATAGCTGTTCTGGGGCCTCCCTACGAGAAGCAGCTCAAAACAGATACCAAAGCAGAGGAGAAAAAAAGAATTAAAATGACAACTGCTGAAGGGCAGAGATTAAAATGGCGGAGGTGAAGCTGATCAGTCTGCAGCACAAATAGAGACAGTTGCACACTTAAATATTTTGTTTTTGTTTCACGTGTGCAGTCGCGTCTTCGGTGTCAATCCATTTAGGATATTTCTCGTCGTTATTCTAGACCAGGGGTAGGCAACCTTGGCTCTTTTATGACTCGTGGACTTCAACTCCCAGAATTCCTGAGCCAGCATGGTGGAAACTATGGCCCCCTTCATGACTGGTGGACTTCAACTCCCAGAATTCCTGAGCCAGCCATGCTGAGGGGAAAGGGAGAGGTTTCCAAGCTGAGCCAGGCTGGCTGAGGAATTCTGGGAGTTGAAGTCCACGAGTCATAAAGCGGCCTAGGCCTAGGCCAGAGGTAGGCAACCTTGGCTCTTTTATGACTCGTGGACTTCAACTCCCAGAATTCCTGAGCCAGCCATGCTGAGGGGAAAGGGAGAGGTTTCCAAGCTGAGCCAGGCTGGCTGAGGAATTCTGGGAGTTGAAGTCCACGAGTCATAAAGCGGCCTAGGCCTAGGCCAGGGGTAGGCAACCTTCGCTCTTTTATGACTCGTGGACTTCAACTCCCAGAATTCCTGAGCCAGCATGGCTCAGCTTGGAAACCTCTCCCTTCCCCTCAGCATAGCTGCCTCAGGAATTCTGGGAGTTGAAATCCACGAGTCATAAAGAGGCCGCAGTTCCCCATGCTGGCTCAGGAATTCTGGGAGTTGAAGTCCACAGGCCTTAAAGTGGCCAAGGTTGGGGACCCTTGATATAAGGTCTCCTGCTTGAGCAGGGGGTTGGACTAGAAGGCCTCCAAGGCCCCTTCCAGCTCTATTCTGATTGATATGTTCCCCCTGTTTTTCAGGCACGAGGGTGATTTGAAGATGTCCACAACCCTTGCGGTTCCCACAATGCATACGCTGCAAATCGGTAAGGAAAAAAAAATGCAACATCCCCAGTTTGATCCTGGATGGGGTAGTGGGGGACATTGTGAGGGTCTCGTGGAGAATGCTGGACTCAGGGTCAGGGGCTTCCCAGAAAGGGACTTGGGATGTTGCTCAGGCCAGCCACATTGTTGTAGCCAAGATGGACGACTCCCCCACCCCCGCTATGAAGAGGGGATCCCTCAGGATCACTTGCAGGTTACAGCTCCCCAGATCTTGGATCTGCCCCAATCAATCGGAATAGAGCTGGAAGGGACCTTGGAGGTCTTCTAGTCCAACCCCCTGCTCCACAGAAGACCCTGTACCATTGCTAAAACCTCCAGTGATGGAGCAGCAACAACTTCTGGTGGCCAGCCATTCCATGGGTTAATTGTCCTCGCTGTTAGGAAATTTCCCCTTAATTCCAGGTTGCTTCTCCCCTTGACGAGTTTCCATCCGTTGTTTCCTTGTGGTAGCCCCTCAAATACTGGAATACGGCTATCATGTATTGTTATAACAACAACAACAACAACAACAACAACCTGGGTAAGGACTCGATAGGTAGACAAAATGCCAAATCCAGTCTGAACATCTGGCTGACTGTGCGATGATCCATAATAATAATAATAATAATAATAATAATAATAATAATAATAATAATAATAATAATAATAGTAATAAAGTTGGAAGGGACCTTGGAGGTCATCTAGTCCAACCCCCTGCTCAGGCAGGAAACCCTATACCATTTCGGACAAATGGCTGTCCAGTCTCTTCTTAAAAACTTCCAGTGTTGGAGCATTCACCGCTTCTGGAGGCAGGTAGTTCCACTGGTTAATTGTTCTCACTGTCAGGAAATTTCTGCTTAATTCTAGGTTGCTTCTCTCCTTGGTCAGTTTCCATCCGTTGCTTCTTGTCCTGCCTTCAGGGGCTTTGGAGAATAGCTTGACTCCCTCTTCTTTGGGGCAGCCCCTGAGATACTGGAAGACTGCTATCCTGTCCCCCCTCGTCCTTCTCTTCATTAAACAAGACATCCCCAATTCCAGCAACCGTTCCTTATATATGCCAGCAAAGTCACCATGGGGGGGGGGGAGACTCCCCATCTGAGTCCTGGTCCTCCTCCCAGGATCACCGGGCGTCACCAGGTCGGCCGATAACATGGGGATGGGCCTCTCTGTCCATCTTGGACCGCAGCTGGGGCCTGTCAGCCAGGAACCGTCCCTGCTGCTCCGAGGTGGAGATTGAGACTTGGAGGGGGGGGGGGAGAGGAAGCAATTAGCTGGACTCCTTAATGGGAACCATATGTGGGGCACACAGAGCCTCCAACTATCCCACCCTGCCTGCGTGGGCGAGACCAACCTTCCGGCATTTCACGCTCTCCGGCATTAAATCTGTCCGCCTCTTGTTTGGGTCGAGGTCCATTCCGACGACGTCCCTGCAAGGTTTTCAAGCGTGGCTCTTTGGACGAAATTGGCTGGACGCTTTTAATCCGATCCGAGGGTGGGGGGCGGCGGGTGGGGGGCGGCGGGGGGGGAGAACCTTCCAGCTGGGAAGGTTCACAAAAGGGGGATCATGCAACCGTCATAAAGACGAGTCGTTCACCGAATGTTTTAGTTTTGAGTTTTTCGCCCTGCGACAGATGTCCGCCGTGAAAAAAGGAGCCCAAGTGGCTTTTTGGCAATGCTGTCGTAACTTTGAACGGTCACTAAAAGGGATGGTGGTAAATTGAGGACTGCTTGAATCTTGGAAAGAAAAAGTGGGGGTGGTGGCGGTAGAGAAGAATCCAGTCCCGGTTGTCTAATGAGATTTCTCCTCAACTGGGCGACTAGGGTTGGACTAGAAGACCTCCGAGGTCCCTTCCAACTCTGTTGCCTGTGGAGAGTCTCCGTCCTCCAGGTCAAGGTTGTCCCAAAGGTGCTTTTTTAGGAGGCAACTGGACTTCTTTGTTTTTCTTTGAAGACCTTTTGCTTCCTATCCCAGAAGCTTCTTCAGGTTCTGACTGGATGGTGGGGAATAGAAGGATTTATACTCCTTGCAGACAGCTGGTCATTTGCCTCCTTTTGGAGAGTCGTTGAGGCCACTTGGAGGTTTACCTGTGTCCTCGGGGTCACCTGGGTGGTGCAAATGGAGGTGGAGCCTTCTTGGAAGTGTTGAAAGGATGCCAAGAAGGCCCCACACCCATTTGCACCACCTAGGTGACCCCGAAGACAAAGATAAGCCTCCAGGTGGCTTCAACGACTCTCTAAAAGAAGGCAAATGACCAGCAGTCTGCAAGGAGTATAAATCTTTCTGTTCCCCCACCATCCAGTCAGAGCGGAAGAAGCTTCTGGGATGAGAAGCGCAACATCTTCAAAGGAAAACAAAGGAAGTCCAGTTGTCTCCTGGAAAACCACCTTTGGGATTCCAACTCTGTCACTCTCCCACGAGAAAGATTGTTTCTAAGCCCCCCCTCTTCCCTTCCCTTCGTCTTCACCAGGGACAAATGGGGAGCGGTCCCGTACCCCGTCTCCGCCGAGTTCTCCCGGGCTCCACAGCGACAGCTGCAGCATTGCGCCCCTCACCCCATCTCAGTCACCGGTAAGCAGAAGCCTTGTCGTCCCCCACCCACCCAAATCTGGTCAAAGCCCCCCCCCCAAAGTAGGGGGGTAAGACGGGTGCTGGGTGGGCTTGCCAAGTGGTGTTGAAGCCCGGAGCTGCGCTGGCTGGGGGATTCTGGGAACCGAAGTCCACCCATCTGAAAAGTGGCCGCGGTTAGACGCCCTGCTCTAGGACCAAGACTGGGGCCCCTGGGGCCGGATGCGGCACCCGGGGGTCCTCTGCATCCTGGCCTGTGTGTTGCAGAGGAGTGAGATCCGGAGGCGAGAGGCGGCTCCCTTCGGCGTGGTGGTGGCCATCGACTTCGGGACCACGTCCAGCGGCTACGCCTTCAGCTTCGTCAGCGACCCAGAGACTCTGCACATGATGAGGTACCCTCTGGGGCTGAAGGCAGGGTCTCTCTTCCTCCTTTTCTCTTCTCTCTCTTTCTCTCTCTCTCTCTCTCTCTCTCTCTCTCTCTCTCTCTCTCTCTCTCTCTCTCTCTCTCTCTCTTTGTCTTTGTTTCTCTCTTTTTTTCTTTCTCTTTCTCTTTCCCTTTCTCTCTTTCTTTCCCTCTCCCCTCTTTCTCTCTTTTCTCCTTTCTCTCTCTCTTTCTTTGTCTCTCTTTTGCTCTCTTTCTTTCTTTCCCTTTCTGCCTCTTTTGCTCTCTTTCTGTGTCTTTATTTCTCTTTATTTCTCTCTTTCCCTCTTTGTTTCTTTCTCTCTCTCTTTCCCTCTTTTTCCCTTTCTCTCTCTCTTTCTCTTTCTCTTTTCTCTCTTTTTCTTTGTCTCTCTTTTGTTCTCTTTCTTTCTTTTTCCCTTTCTGCCTGTCTTTTGTTCTCTTTCTGTGTTTGTCTTTGTTTCTCTTTTCTCTCTCTCTTTTCCCCTCTTTCCCCCTCTCTCTCTCTCTCTCTCTTGCTCTCTCTCTTCTCTTTCTCTTTCTCTTTCTCTTTCCTTTTTCTCTTTCTTTGTCTCTCTTTTGCTCTTTCTTTTTCCCTTTCTGCCTGTCTTTTGTTTCTCTCTTTTTCTTTCTCTCTTTCCCTCTTTCTCCCTCTCTTGCTCTCTGTTTCTTTTTCTTTTACTTTCTTCTTTTTCTTTCTTTCTTTCTCTCTCTATTTCTCACATACACACCTAAACACAGAGAGACCTTTATTCTTCAGATCTCCTCCACAATCGCTGGCACACGGTCTCTGGATATTCCCCGCATGAATGAACAGAGAATATTTGTTTTTCACGATCTTCTCTTTTAGGCGCAAGGCCTGTGCGAAGGAAGGGAACTCTCACCTGCCAGGCGTTTGCAAGAGATTGCACCCATCTCCCTGCCTAACTGATGGCTTTGGAGTATGGGCTTTAGAGTGTTTCTTGAGGACTACCCAATGTTTAGTCCCTGGAAGCTGTGTTTCCATTGGATGAGGGAGGAAGAGCAGGATTTGGGCATTTTTAATGAACAAATGAGATGGCCTCGAAAGCAACATGTAAATCTCTAAAAAAAAAACCCAAGGCCTGGGTGTTCTGAGATGTCGCTTCATAAAAATTCACTGCATAAATAAAAAAAAATAGAAAAAGTCACCAAAGGAAACCAGCCGTTAAATTCTTCCCTTTTTCTCTCCCGTGGGAAGAGGCGATAAATTAATTTAAAAAAAAACCGATCGTGTTTAAATCCTATTTTATTTTCTCTCCATCAAGAAACAATAAAACATTTTGCTGAATCTTCCACGGAGCGATCGTAGGAGAAGGACCGGCCGAGTCAGGGCTGGAGTTAAAAGAGGGATCAGCCTGGAATCATTACATCGCCACAAAGGAGCAAAACGGCCCTTATTCTAACTCTGCACGGCTGGCTGGGGAATTCTGGGAGTTGAAGTCCACAGCTCTTCTTCAAGGGGCCAAGATTGGAGAGACACAGCTAGGGGCCCGCTTTCTAAATATGAAATTCCTTCATGCAAAATTTTTTGGGGGGGTACCAGACAAACTTCCAAGTCGAGCCCCCCCCCCCCCGACTTGCACAAAAATCCAGACCGATGGGTTCACGTTTCAGAAGAGAGCAGACCGACCCCGGAGCCTTCCTGCGAGGTGGGGAGAATGAATCCCACTTTGGATTTTTTTTTTTTCCTGGCAGGAAATGGGAAGGAGGAGACCCCGGAGTGGCCCACCAGAAGACCCCCACCAGCCTTCTCTTGACGCCGGAAGGTGCCTTCCACAGCTTTGGCTACACGGCCCGGGACTATTACCACGACCTGGACCCGGAGGAAGCCCGCGACTGGCTCTACTTTGAGAAGTTCAAAATGAAGATCCACAGTTCCCGGGTGAGTAAAATGGGGTAAAACAACAGCGGTTTCTCTCTCTCTCTCTAGCAATGGAAATGTCGGCCTCCGCCGTGGTGGTCAGTGGAGGGCTGCCTGTGAAGGGTTCCTACATGTCTCCATCAAGGTCACCGGTCTGGTTTTCTGCCCGGCCTGAAAGTCTTTTGGGTGGTTCTCTTTTATGTCAGGATTTGAGCATGAAGACCGAACTGGGGGCCGTGAACGGGAAGAAGGTGCCGGCCTTGGAGGTCTTTGCCCACGCCCTCCGCTTCTTCAGGCAGCAGGCCGTGCAGGTGAGGGAGGGAGTGGGGAGACCTCCCGTTTCTCCAGGGGTTGGGGGGGGAGACGTCACCTGAGGGAAGGAAGGAAGGAAGGAAGGAAGGAAGGAAGGAAGGAAAGGAGGAAGGGAGGGAGGGAGGAAAGAAGGAAGGAAGGAGAGAGGGAGGAAAGGAAGGGAGAAAGGAAGGGAGGGAGGAGGGAAAGGAAGGAAGGAAGGGAAGGAAGGAAGGAAGGAAGGAAAGAAGGGAAGGTAGGAAAGAAGGAAGAAGGGAGGGAGGAAAGAAAGGGAGAAAGGAAGGGAGGGAGGAGGGAAGGAAGGAAGGAAGGAAGGAAGAAGGGAAGGAAGGAAGGGAAGGGAGGAAAGAAGGAAGGAAGGAAGGAGGGAGGGAGGGAGGGAGGGAGGGAGGAGGGAAGGAAGGAAGGAAGGAAGGAAGGAAGGAGGGTTGAAGGAAGGACAGATGGGAAGGAGGGAGGAAGGGAGGAAGGAAGGAAGGAGAGATGGGAAGGAGGGAGGAAGGAGGGAGGGAAGGAAGGGAGGAAAGAAGGAAGGAAGGAAAAGAGGAAGGAAGGAGGGAAGGAAGGAAGGAAGGAAGGAGGGAGGGAAGGGAGGAAATAAGGAAGGAGGGAGGGAAGGAAGGAAGGAGGGAGGGAAGGGAGGAAATAAGGAAGGAAGGAGGGAAGGGAGGGAGGGAGGGAGGGGGCTAGAAGGAAGGAAGGCAGGAAGGAGGGAGGGAGGGAGGAATAAGGGAGGGAGAGAAGGAGGGAGAGAGAGAACCTTCCAGAAGGACTCTGTGAGGAGATCGAAGTTGTCTCTTTATTGTTAATCGGGGGTCTCCAAAGTGGACCTCCAGCCAGCATCCCTGTTGGGATAGACTTCCTCTAGGCCCTGCTGTGCAGCCGGGACCCCCTGTGACCCTCCTCTCTTGCAGGAGCTGAAGGACCAGTGCCCGGCCTTGCCGGTGGCCGATGCCATCCGGTGGGTGATCACGGTGCCCGCCATCTGGAAGCAGCCGGCCAAGCAGTTCATGAGGGAAGCGGCCTACTCGGTGAGGAAGGCCGGGTTTCTTTCTTTCTTTCTTTCTTTCTTTCTTTCTTTCTTTCTTTCTTTCTTTCTTTCTTTCTTTCTTTCTTTCTTTTCTTTCTCTCTCTCTCTCTTTCTTTCTTTCCTTTCTTTCTCTCTTTCTCTTTCTTTTTATTTTCTTTCTTTCTTTCTTCTTTCTTTTTTCTTTTTCTTTCTTTCTTCTTTCTTTTTTCTTTTTCTTTCTTTCTTCTTTCTTTTTTCTTTTTCTTTCTTTCTTCTTTCTTTTTCTTTCTTTCTTTCTTCTTTCTTTTTTCTTTTTCTTTCTTTCTTTCCTTTCTTTCTCTTTCTTTCTTTCTCTCTCTCTTTCTTTCTTTCTCTCCTCCTCCATCTTTTTTTCTTTCTTTCTTCCTTCCTTCCTTCCTTCCTTTCCTTCTTTCTCTTTCTTTCTTTCTTTCTTTCTTTCTCTTTCTCTCTTTCTTTCTTTCTTCCTTCTTTCCTTTCTTTTTCTTTTTCTTTCTTCTTTCTTTCTCCTTTCTTCCTTTCTTCCTCCCTCCCTCTTTCTTTCTTTCTTTCTTTCCTTTCTTTCTCTCTCTTTCTTTCTCTTTCTCTTTTTCTCTTTCTTTTTCTTTCTCTCTCTTTTTCTTTCTTTCTTTCTTTCTTTCTTTCTTCTTCCTTCCTTCCTTCCTTTCCTTCTTTCTCTTTCTTTCTTTCTTTCTTTCTTTCTCTTTCTTTCTTTCTTTCTTTCTTTCTTTCTTTCTTCTTCCTTCTTTCCTCTTTCTTTTTCTTTTTCTTTCTTTCTTTCTCTCTTTCTTTATTCTTTCTTTTTTTCTTCCTTCCTTCCTTTCTCTTCTTTTTTTCTTTCTCTTTCCTTCTTTCCTTCCTTCCTTTCTTTTCTTTTCTTTCTTTCATGCCACCCATCTCGCCATCTGCCAAGTGGCAAAGTCCCACCCCAGGTGGAGATCTACCTTTTGTTCCCCTCCCTTCCCAGAAAGGGGTGGGGAGAACCCCCATAAGGAGACCCCCGCAAGGGGGAAAAAACCCTACATAGGAGCCTCACATTGTTGTCAAAAGCCCCCAACCGCTTTTGCCGTAGCTCTCTGGGTGGGACGGAGCCCCCGAGGAGTCGGGCGGGATTCTATCATGCCACTCTGCTGGGTCCATTTCGGCTCCCACGATTCCTTTGGG